CATCACTTTTAAAAATTTTATATGCAACAAATATATGGTTTGCTTGTAGAAGTTAAAATACTACTCTAAGAAGTTATTTTAAGATAATATTGCTTTAAATATCTATTCATTAAAACTTAACACCAATCTGTGATTAGTTATTGAAGTTTTATTTCAGGGTCATCAGATTTCATTAATCACCTGGGTGTTAAAATCCAGTTTTGCATGGTGTAACTTTCAAGATATTTCCAGAAGAGATGTTGAAGCAGGAATGTTGCAACTATCAACGATTTCAGTTATAGCTAGTTTGGTCGGGGGTAAACACATGCAGCATGTGTTGAACTATGTTGCTGATGGCGAATTCAGGATCTCTGCCCTAATCTTCACATGCCTCGTAGCCTAACGTTCTTGACAGTTTCAGAAGGGTACGACAGCAAATGCTGACAGACTGCCAACCCAAACTTCATAAAATCTAGCCAATCAAGTCTGCTCTTTTTAATCTGTCTGTCGATGCATAGACTTCGCTAGTGGCAAGGATAAAAAATAATTACACAGCCTGCCCGGGTTCCATTTGTGAATGGGCAAAAAGCTAAGCAATAATGAAATTTACAACTTATCATGAAAGGACTTTGTTCTCTAATTTTGGGATAGTCACTCCTTTATTGCAGCCTACAAAGGAATTGGTGAAGGGAACATATGAGGCAGATTTCAATTTTATTTACAAGCTAACCCAGGTCAGAACAAAAAAAAATACATAAAGCAATATTAAATGCATTGAGTTAAGAACACAGGATCAACCATTCACAGATGACAGGTACCCAATCTATTGTTTAAACCAAATGTCACTTTTTTTGTAGAATAAACAAACCTTTAGCAATGATGTTGACAGGATGCTGTGGTTGATCTATATCAACTAAATACATTTGGTTGTAACAAATTATTTCTATTCTAAGCGCTGACAGAAGCTGGCAAAACATGTTCGCTTGTCAGAACCATAAAAGATAGAAATACATAGAAACTAACAGCATTCAGCCCTCCGAGCTTCTTCTGCTCCTTTTTATTCTTAAACTCTTCAATACAGTCAGGGCTCATTTTCTATCTCATTGTCATATTCCCACTTTCTCCCCATCCGCCGGATGCCTTTAAAATGTTAAAAAATCTTTTTCTTGAAAATGTTCAGTGACTTGGCCTCCACAGCCTTCTATGGTACTGAATTCTACAGGTTTACTACCTTTTGACTGAAGAAACCTTTTCTGTCTGTCCCCTCGTTTTTGACTCCCCAACCAGAGAGAACATCCTCCCTGCCTCCTTTCTGGCCCTCTTACAATTTTATAAGTTTTTTCATCATTCTAAACTCTAGCGAATACAATCTCAGTCAAATAAATCCCATTTAAAAGGGATCTAAAGGGCCAACTTTTTCACGCAGAGGGTGGTGCATGTATGGAATGAGCTGGCAGAGGAAGTGGTGGATGCTGGTACAATTAAAACGTTTAAAAAGCATCTGGTTTGGTATATGAATAGGAAGGGTTTAGAGGGATATGGGCCAAATGCTGGCAAATGGGACTAGATTTATTTAGAATATCTAGTCGGCATGGCCAAAGGGTTTGTTTCCATGCTGGACAGCTCTATGACTCTATGTCTGTGTCTCTCTCTGCATAGGACAGTGACAGTAATAACTGAATGAACCTCCACTGCACTCCCTTATGGCAAGTTTAACCTTCCACAGGAACATAAGAACAGGAATAAGCCAGTCAACCTCTCAAGCCTGTTCCATGAGTCAATGAGATCATAGATGATCTGTGGCCTAACTCATATACTTGCCTTTAGCTTATATTCATTAATACTTTTGCTTAACAAAAATTTGTTTCAGACTTAAAATTAAAAACTGAACCAGCATCCAAGCGTTTGTAGGAGAGTTCCAAATATCTACCCACTTTTCTGTATACAAGTGCTTCCTAACATCTCTCCTGAACAGTGTAGTCCTCGTTCTAGATACCCCAAGCAGAGGAAATTATTTATGTTTATCTATTTCCTGTTAATATCTTGAAGACTTCCATCCGATCTCTCCTTAACCTTAAAAATTCCAGAGAAAGAAGGCCTAATTTATATAATCTCTCCTCATAACAACCCATGAAGACCAGGTATCATTCTTGCAAACCTACGCTATATTCCCTCCAAGGCCAATATATCTTTCCTAAGGTGTGGTGCGCAGATCTGCTCACACTATACCAGTTTAACCAGGATTTTGTATAACTGTGGCATACTTCGGTAAAATTTAATAACTGCGGTTCTCTAGATATAAAGGTCTTTTTTTGATTTTTGTCTGCACCTGTTCATGACATTTTAAATATTTAGGCACCTGAATCCCATGTCTCTTTGGACATCCACTGTACTTAACTTCATACCATCTAGAAAGTACCCCGATCTATCCTTTTTCAGTCCAAAATAGATAACCTCACACTTGTTTACATTGAACTCCATCTGCCACAGTTTTGCCCAGTCTATCAATATCCCTTTGTACTTTTACGTTATCATCTACATTATTTACAATGCCGACTAACTTTGCATCATCAGCAAATTTTGGATATATGACATTCTGTGCCATTATCCAAGTTGCTGATAGTAATGTGAATAATTGAGGCCCTAACAGATCCTGGTGGGACACCACCGGCCACATCCTGCCAACTTGATTACCTACCCATTATCCCCACTTTATGTTGCCTGCCACTCAACCAATTTCCCAGCCATGTCAGCATTTTGCCCTTAATTCCATGGGCTTCTACCTTAGTTAACAGTCTGTTATATGGGACTTTATCAAATGCCTTCTGGAAGTCCATATAAACAATATCTATAGACACTCCCTGTACACTAAATTAGTCACCTATTCAAAAATTTCAATGAAATTTGTCAGGCATGACCCATCTGTCATGAATTCATGCTGGCTTGCCCTGATGAACTGAAAATTTTCAAGGCGTTCAGTTACCCCATCCTTGATAATAGACTTTAACAATTTCCCCACCACAGATGTTAGGATAACATATCTGTAATTCCTCGTTTTTCCTCTTTCCCTCCTCTTAAAAAAGAGAGAGACACGCAATTTTCCAATCCAGAGGGATGACTCCTGTATCTGGCAAACTCCTAAACGTTATATAGTTAGTGCATCTACAATGTGGTCCTCTACTGCCATTAACACCCTTGGACGGAAACCATCAGGTCCCAGGTATTTGTCATTGTTTAATTCCATAAATTTCCTCATTACTCATGTTTTACTTATTTTAATTTTATTCAGCCTCTGTTCCCAATCCACTACTAATTCCGTCAAGACTTCCAGCAAGCTATCCTCCTTTTCTGCTGTTAAGTACTGAGGCAAAGTAATTATTGAACATATCTGCCATTTCCACATAGTCATTGACATTATCCCACTTTCAGTCCTTAGTGGGCCAACATTATGCCTGGCCACCCGCTTTCCCTTTGGAAACTACAAAATTTTTTGTTATTGATTTTGGTGTCCCTGGCAAGTTTCTTTTCTTAATCCCTTTTAGCAACTCCTATAAGCTGCTTTGTGGCCTTTTCCCGGTCCTTGTCTAAACTAGTTTTCTGTTGTATTTCTTTAAATATCCTCTATTAGCTTCAGTTGGTTTACCCATTAGCAGATTTTCCCCGTTTACTGTGGACAGTCTCTATCTCATCACATTAAAGTTGGCCTTATCTAAATCTAAAAGTCGAGTAGCTATTCAATGCTTTTTGCTTTCAAATATCTACACTGAACTCAATCATGTTATGATCATTATTTGGTAAATGTTCATGCACATTTAGGTTATTAATTAAATTCGACTCATTACTAAACCCAATATTGTTTGTCCCTTGCTGCATCTAGGACATATTGCTGTAGGAAACTACCCCAGACACACTCCAGAAATATACTACCTTTCTAATAGGTGCATGTCTCCCTCTCTCAATCTATGTTAAAGTTAAAACTTTCTTCAGCAGGAAGATCAAAACAGCACGCAGTATCCCAGTGTGATCTCACTAAGGCCCTGTATAATTGTAGTAACATCGTTACTTCTGAATTCAAATCCTCTTGCAATGAAGTCTGACATAATAAAATGAAGCTAACATTGAGAGGAGAATCATACAAAATCGGTGGAATCCTAAGTTAATTAGTAGACATAACTGAGATTAAGTTATAAAATTGATTCATCTATTACATTGAAACAATTTGAAACTTCACTGTATTTTATTGGTATGTTTTCAAATAAACATGAGGCCTTCAAGTTTAATTTATTTTGCTCTGTGCCTTGTGTGCTGTTTGAGAAATTATAGTGAAATTATAATGAAGGATTGCAGGTAATTTATCATTATTAATTATATACATAATGCTCGTAGATAGATAATTGCTGTAACACTGCCAATTGTACGGTATGGCAATTAACTTAAACCAGATTTTTAACATATACTTTGACATTGCTAGCAAGGCCAACAATTGTTATCCATTTCTAGGTGTCCATGAGGGTAGTGAGCTGTGTTCTTAAAACATTGTGGTTCATATGACATAAGTACACCCATGTTACTGCTGGCAAGTGCACACCAGGATTTTGATCCAGCAGCAAAAAAAGACAACATTGTGCCAAGTCAGGATGGTACAAGAGGTGAAGTGCTGTTTGCATCCAACTGCTACCCTTGCTGTCTGAGGTGGTAGAGATCACAGGTTTGGAAGGTGTTGTTAAAGGTGTTTTGTCAAGTTCTGTAGTGTATCATGAGATGAGACACACTGCTGCAACTTTGCATCAGTGATGAAAGGAACAAGTGTTTAGCGGGTGAGTGGGTGCTGATAAAACATGTTGTTTGTCACAGTATCCACTTAAATAAACAACAATTGTTATATTATCAATACAAAAATAGTTGATGGAGGAATCTTATTTGATCTTGTTGATTTAAAGCATTTAGTACTTTTACTAGTTTTGTACCTGGCACTAGAGAAGTACGGACTGCCTTCTTCTTCAAATCTCCTAATGATTGGTTCCTTTAAAGCTGCTTCATCTTCTGAAGAGAACTACAAGGAAAAGTACAGAAACTCTGAAACATTCAGCACATTGAGATATTTGGTGCAGCACATTTAATGTTAATGGCAGTTGTGGCTGCCTGATTTCTTAATTTCATTCAATAATGTCAAATTCAAACAAGTAAACAGCATACCTAATGTCCAGTTTCTATTGATTAATAAACACTTGAAACTTATCTAGTAGTCCAGAAACCTCTCAGCAAAAGCAAAACACTGTACATGCTAGAAGTTTGAAAGAAAAATAGAAAATGTTGGCAAAACTCAGTTCAATAGGCAGTGTCTGTGAACCAAGGAACAGAGTTAACATTTCATGTTGATGATCTTTCATCACATGAGCAGTGGGATAAGTCAAATAGTCCAAGTTTGCACACTGACAGGTCCTGGCCAGCCCATCAGCATAGGCTTCCATTTAGTGAACTGCAGGTTTCAGATTCCAGTGGAAGTTGGCTCCCTAGAATCTACAGTCCATCATGGCCCGCAATAGCAGCAAATGCTGAAGATTGAGCACAATAGTTTCAGTTTTCCTAATTTTTTTTTGGGTGAAATATCTACTCATCCAATTCTGGATGTTAGATAAATATCACACAGCACATTTCAAAGAAAAGCAAATAGCTAGTTTAGCATCATACCCATCACATATCCTTCAATCCACACTAACACCTAGATTCAGCTCATTGTGTTTCTGGTGTGTTGAGCGCATCTTGAATGCCATATTAGTCTTCAAATAAATTACTTCAAAAACAATTTATCGACTGCATTGTGGACAACGTTAAAAGTGTGATAAAATTTCAGCAATTATTTATTTGTATTATATTGCTTCATGTGACTGCGAATTGAATTGATTGCTTAATGTGCATTTCTATTTCATTTCAATTTATTTGGGGATGCAGGCTTCGCTGGCTGGGCCAGCATCTGATACCCATCCCTATTTGCTCTTGAGATGGTGGTGGTGAGCTGTTTTCTTGAAATGCTGCTATTTATTTTGTGTCATTCCACCCACAATGCTGTTAGGGAGGGAGATCGAGGATTTAGACCCAGCAAGTGTAGGAATGGTGAAGTCTCCATCTGTGGAGAGAGAAACAAAGTTAACATTTTGAGTCCAGTAAAAGCAAAATACTGCAGATTCTGGAAAGCTGGAGGAATGGTGATATATTTCCAACTCAGGATTGTGTATTCAGTATTTACGAGGAGGTCTAGAAGTAAAGTTACTATAAATTTCCAATTTCTATTTACCAGGAGATTTTGTTTCTCTCATGTAATTCCCAAGTGCTATTTAGAAACTAAGAACAGGAGTAAGACATTTGGCCTTTCAATCCTGCATGACCATTCACTACGATCATGGCTGACCCTCTATCTCAATGCCATATTCCCATTTTCTCTCCATACCCCGACACCTTTACCATCTAAAAAAATTATTAATGCTTTCTTGAAAACATTGAGTGCCTTGGCCTCCACAGCATTCTGTTGCACAGAGTTCCACAGTCTGCTGCCTTTTGAGTGAAGAAACCTTTTCGGTCCTAAATCACCTGCGTATCCTACAATGGAGTCCCCTGGTTCTAGATTCCCCAACCAGGGAAAACATGCTCCCTGCATCTAGTTTGTCGAGTCCTCGTCCTAACTCTAACCTTAACCCTAACCCAGATTGCCCTGAAGATTTCTTGCATTTAAAGACCCCAAACTAAAAATCGTGTCATTTATTTCAGTTTTAAGCATAGCTGATATAAACAGAAGATACATTTTTCAAAATAGCTGGAGTACACATATTCATTAATGTCAGTTGCAAAATTTCATTCACGCAGGTTGCAAGAATCCAGGGCAAGAACCAAGAAGACAAATTTTGCAACAGTTCTAGACAGATTTCCATAATAGGGATGTTAGGACTGAGAAGACTGCTTTGAAACTTCATTTCAATCTAACAATCTAATTAATGATTGTCAATTTATGCAGAGTATACAGAATACTTTGACTGTTACAGCCAATTATACTCACAAAACCAGTGTCTAGACTGAGAATACAAACTGCTCCTGCATACTTAGGTTTCTTTTCATAATAGGGTGCAATACTTATTCCAAGCCTAACAGTTTTTTTTAATGAGGTGAATTTACCTCATGTAAAGTAACCTGAATGTCATTAGTACCGTCGTTTCTGTTTTCATTCCTTGAAACTCAACCTAACCGGTCTCGGCTCTATGAGGCCTCACATCACATTAATACTCACCTCTTTTCCTTCTCTTGCCCTTTGGTCCTTTGTAATTGTAGCTAAAACAGTAGCAGCTTGCTCACCCCCCATCACAGAAATGCGTGCATTTGGCCACATGTACAGGAACCTTGGGCTGACAGGAAAAACAGAAAACCAAAATTAATAGTATTTATTAATAAATACAACCAAGAAATATCTCCCCCACTACTTGTAAAACCCTCAAATTTCAAAAGGCAGAATTTTTCAAGACTGAACACTTTATTTCAGCCTATAAAACTGTCCTATTTGAAGGAACTTTAAAAATAAATCAAATGCAATATTTTCTTTTTCATCTCAAATCCAATCTATCAATAGTGGAAATCTGAAATAAAACAATAAATGCTGTGCCTGAATGAGAAAAGACAAGTCTACATATTGGGTACAGCCCCTTTGCTAAAATGACTCCACTCAAAATTCAAACTTTTATTTTAACCTTCAGAAGCTTAGAGGTTTGCTGTGATTTTAATATTAGGCAGGGAAATGTAGCAATATTGTACTCTGCATGAATGCAATTTACTGCTGCATTACATTAACCTCATTACATTTACAATTCAAGTGTCTTTGTAATTATCTTAATTGGCATGACACTGTTGAGCTTAGTTAAACATCTGTTTCCAGCTGGTACACAGCAATTCAATTACATGTCCCATAAAATAAAATTTGCTCTCGGGCAGTCTTGCAAAGACCAATCACAGGTTTGATTTTTATTTTTCCTCTTCAGTATTTACTGAGTGTCAACATACCAACTGAAGGTTTGGCCAATTTAGTTATTGGTATAATCAATAAATCAGATTGACTGTGGTCATGAGTTTTCAGTAGCTTTTTCTTCCTCATGTTTTTAGAATATTCCATTGATGAAACGTTATAATTAAAACAATTATTCACACTCCATCATCATCATCAAAACAGATACAGGATTTCATACCAAATTAATAACATGATAATTCATTAATCCCAAGTAATATGCAATCCATTAACAAATAAAACACACTGAAAAGGCGGACTAAATGACTAACAAGTTAAAGATTGTATTAGATTAAAGGAAAATGTTTATAATGGTGCTGGAGATAGTATTATGCTAAGGACTTGTACACTTAATGGTAAAGTCCTGGAGAGTGTTGCCAAACGAAGAGACCTTGGACTGCAGGTTCATAGTTCCTTGAAAGTGGAGTTGCACGTGGACAGGGTAGCGATACGCTTGCCTTTATTGGTCGGTACATTGAGTATAGGAGTTGGGAGGTCATGTTGCAGCTGTACAGACATTGGTTAGGCCACATTTGGAATACTGCATTCAATTCTGGTCTCCCTGCTATAGGAAAGACGTTGTGAAACTTGAAAGGGTTCAAACAAGATTTGCATACATGTAGACAGGGTTGGAGGGTTTGAGCTATAGGAAGAGACTGAATAGGCTGAGGCTATTTTCCCTGGAGCATCGGAGACTTAGGGACGACATGACAAAGGTTTATAAAATCATGAGAGACAAGAAAAGGGTGAACAGCCAGGGTCTTTTCCCCAGGGTAGGGGAGTCCAAAACTAATCGGCATAGGTTTAAGGTGAGAGGGGAAAGATTTAAAAAGGATCTAAGGGCAACTTTTTCACGCAGAGGATGGTGGGTGTATGGAACGAGCTGCCAGAGGAAGTGGTGGAGGCTGGTACAATTACAACATATAAAAGGCATCTGGATGGATACCTGAATAGGAAGGATTTAGAGGGATATGGGTCAAATGCTGGCAAGTGGGACTAGATTTATCTAGGATATCCGGTTGGAATGGATGAGTTGGACCAAAGGGTCTGTTTCTGCGCTGTATATCAACATGACTCTATGATTGAGTGTGTTTTGGATACCAGCAGATGATGGCTAAGAAATTGATTGGAAAAAAAAAAGCAGAATGAGAGAGAAAACAAGTGATAGATAAAACAATTCAAAGTTTTTATTGGTCTGAATAAAGGAAGAAATTTTAAAAATAAACATGATCTCTTACAAGCAGAGATAAGAAAAACAGGAAGCTATTCACAATTTACCAGATACACCTCCTCTGGGCACATCTTTTGGTTTCTTGACTTGCTCCATAATCAGTCCCTTTGATTTTACACCAACAGTTATTTTGGTCAACCTCTCATCTTCCACCCTATCACAGCCATTTCCTTTGTTCCTTTTCTCACGCTTCCCATTTTCACTTGCTTAAAATCTAATTTCCTTTCATTCTGATGAAAGGTCATTGCCCTAAAATATTAACTCTTTCACATCACAAATGCTGCTTGACCTGATGCATATTTCCAGTTTTCCCATTTTTATTTCCAATTTTCTATCCTGAACTGATGTTATACAGAGAAACAGGTAGGACAGTGACTTGCCTATATGCTCTTCCACACATTCCATAGTTTCCGGCACCATAGGAACCACCAACAATGACAGTAATTTTTGGAACATTTGCACATGCAACTGCAGTCACCATTTTGGCCCCATCTTTAGCTATTCCGCCAGCTTCATATTCTCGACCAACCATGAAACCTTATAGATTCAGAAGTAGTACATAAATTGACACATTGACAAAGTTGGCACCGTTTAAACAATAAATCTAAAACAAAAATTCAAGGTCATTGAAGTGAAATATAGAATTGGATAAAAGACAAATATTGACATATCTAACAATACAACTTCTTGATGTCTGCTTTTTTTTTTTTAAAACTTTGCAGTCTGTCTATTGCATTATCTTCAATTTGTCAGGGTCGTCCATTAGTGTTCAGTCAACATTCATGTTGCTATAGGACATGGTGTCATAATTCAGGCTACTGCTACTATTGAAGTGGTAGAAAAAGAAATTTAATATCCATCAAATGCTCTTATAAGAACATTGCTGAAAGTGACCAGAATTTTATTTTAGACCATGTAGGACTCCAACAGTGTTGGATGCATCAGTAGCTGTTAATGTAACATAAGAAGGGTGACAGATAACATTAATATGCAACAAATCAGTTTTCAGAATATGCCAAGGAAACAGCGACGGAGTATGGCTGACACCACATGGATAACAGCAGACTGCTGCAAAATTGAGATATATGGATAAAAAACAGACAAAATTTGGAAACAGAACCGACAAATTTTAATTTTAAACCTTATTACAAAGGCATAAATACAAACATTCATAGCAACAATAAAATAGTAATTTTGTTTGGGGATAAACTAAAAGCTCCATTTCAGTTACCTCCATCTGACTTAATAAAGACATTTGCTAAATATCAATTCTGAAATACATCTACAAGTGGTAAGTTACAATTTAAACTTTTAAGGGAAGGTGCAAATGATGCTCAGAGATATACTTTACAAAGGGTCCCTTCTATTAATGGAAATAAAACAGCCAATTGATTAAAAAGAGTATAAAACTGTGAAGATACAGGAAGGTTTTATTGTCTTTGAGGTATTTTATTGGGCAATTTTTCATCACTGTGTCTGTATCTCTTGTGAGGCCACTATCATCAGCATGATAAGCATATAATTCACAGCAGCCACAACTGAACAAACAGATATTGTTCTTATTTTGATATGCCATTGCCAAAAATGGTCCTTCTCTTTCTTACCTGTTATGTTCTGCAGAAATATGAGGGGGATATTCCTCTGACAACACAGCTCAATAAAATGGGTGCCCTGTAATTAAATAAAGGGGTACATTGGTTTGGAGAGTTTTCAGCAAGACAGTGAGTTCCTACATAGTCTGAACAATGGAGAAACATTTTGCAACATAAAAGAACGCTGAGGTCAGACAAGTTCACATTTAATTTTATTACACAGTCCGCAGAGAATACAGCATAATAATTGAACTGGAACTGAGGTTGAGCCTTTGGCCTACCAACTGAAAACTTCCAGTGTTTTAGCTGCTGGGTCTCCAAGAGCTGTACAGTTTGTTGAAAACATACTGAAGACAGCTAGCTTTTTCTGTTAACGTGCTAAGTTTAGTTTTAACCTACCTTTAACACTTTGTTCACAGGTAACATATCATCACTGTTTTCGGGTTTTTAAAATCAGAGTAGAGACACATATCATAAGATGTGTGGAGTTTTGGAGTAGCGCTGTTAAAAAGTCCAAGCGCTGACTGAAAGCCAAGCAATGTAACATAGTATTTACAGCACAGAAATATCTCCATAATGGTGCATATGGTGCACACAAGCTTCCTTCCACACTTTTTTCATTTAACCCCATTTAACATCCTCTTTATTCCATTTTCACTTATGTTTATCTAGTTTCTCCATAAATGTACCTGTGCTTATTGTCTCAACTACTCCTTGTGCTATCATATTCCTCACTTTAAATATTTTCAGAATAAATCCTTATCGATGATTCTTAAAACTTGTGCCTTTAACCAAATTTTTGTCATCTGACTATATTCTTATGTGGCTAAGTGTCATACCATGCTTTACAATGCTCCAATGAAGTGCCTTGGGAAGTATAACTGGATAAAGGTGCTATATACATTGTTGTTCTAAAGACATTTCTCCTCAATTCATTATTGGTTTTGTCATGACTGAGGCCGGAGGAGTGCACTGTCATTCTAGTCCCACTGCTCCACAGATCACAACACAGTAATTTTTTCTTTCATTTACCAAGATATCAATATCAGGTTACAAAACAACAAGATCTATCAACCAGCTTTCTTAATTAAAGATGAAGTATTGGCTTATTATCAAAATAAGACTTACTCAATAAAGAAGCAATAATTGGCTAACATGTATAGTCAGTAATAAAGAAGTATAATTACTTATCCCTCTAAATATCCTCAAAAGATGGAGAGAAAAAAAGATTTCTCTGCAAAAATTGTCTTCCTGAAAAAAAAAATCCCTTATCCAATAGGTCATTCTTGAAGACAACAGAATAGAATGTTCCAGACTTTGCTGCTCTGTTGTTTGGCTGGTGTGGTCAAGTTATGAATCAAACATGGCTGTCTCTGAATTCTTACAGACACAGCTCCCTTAGGAAATCCTACCTTAAGATGTTTTTCAATCATTTTTTTCAAAACAAACGAATTTCCTCTGAACTCGAGGATTTTCTTTTCAAACACGAGAGCAATCGGCTGGGCAACTTATTCTTACAAATCTCTTACAAATCAGCTTGTTCTTTTCTTTAACTTAAAAAAAAACACCTTTGCATGCCAGCCACTGTTCAAAGCAGCCCCAGCAGGGGTGTACAGCAAAGCAAGTGGTTATCACCAGACGTAATATTTACAGGAATACTTGTTTAAAGAAAAATATTTACAGTGAACCATCAATGACACCTTTTAAAACCACTCCTGATATTTTCACAAAACTTGAAAATAATAATTTTACAACCTTTCAAAACTTAAGTTTGTCAAACAATGTTAAATATAAAGTGTCTCTCTAACACTTTATTAGTAAATGTTTCATAGTTATGGTCCCTAGTACTGGTCTCCTTCACAAGTGGAAGCATCCTTTCTACCAACTACATTAAACCATTTCCACGAACCTTTAAGACTTATTTCAGGTCACCCTTCAGTCTTTCCATTTCTATGAGCTACAACACAATATGATACCTTTCAAATTTTGAAATCACCCTTCCAGTTCCCAAAGTCCAAATCATTTATATATAATTTTGACATGGTCTCCGCATTAATTCTTGCGCAAGTTCCAACCTTTTCAAAAATTGACTAACTAAAACACTTACTCTCTGGTTTCAGTTTGAGAAATAGCTCACTATCCATTCTGCTGCTTGTCCTGTCAACTACCATACCTCACATTTTGAAGAGGAATGTTGGCAGAGCAAACAATTTCAAGATGCTTTTCCAGACACACTAAATTGCTTAAAAGGCTGTTTAGGGTCTAAACTGTTAAATCTACCCTGCACGTTATTGCTGAGAACAGCTGATATTTTTCATCTTTCTTCAAATTTAATGGAACTCCAATCTTCCACTTCAAATGGATCACCCACATTTACTCAGTCAAAACTGTAACTTCTGTACAAATGACAGCTGGTGACTAATACTGTGAAACTACAAAAGGCAATGTGTGGTAGCTATTGAACAATGTTATCATTAAGGTCAGAATTGAAGACACATGAAGCATCAGCAACAATAACATTTTGTGAAAAATTATGATCAAATTTATTTTCAATTGAACTGCTTAATACTGTCGAATTTCCTTCAAGTCAACTCTGTTGATGCTGTCAACAAAGGAATACCCTGAAAAAGTCAACAGAAATATGAAAAATTAATAAAGGGAGATCAATTATTTGCTGTGCTTTGATAAGTGTTAGTTATTTTTTCCCCCCAATAAACTGAGTTTAGACTGAAAGTTTATGATGGTTTAAGAATTTTACACATCCTTTTCTTTCTTGAGGGAACAGCACATGAGAATACAACCTTTGAAACAATCTCAAAGAAATCTGGAAGCAAATTGATCAGTAACTTTCAAAACGTAATCTGTAAATATTTAAAAAGGGAACATGAGCAGGGATATGGAAATAGAACAGGATAGTGAGATCAATTAGACAGCTATTTCAGAGATGACTGGCACAATGGTTGCCTTCTGTGTTGTGTTATTCTATGATGAAATTTTAAACCAAGCTCTGCTGTAATGTTGGTGCTCATTAGGCGTACAATAAAAATAGATTCTACGTCTTAAGGTGTACAAAATGTTCTTTCACAAATGTATCACACATTTTCAGAACATGGACAGAATTTTATAGCCTACAATGATTTTGCTGGTGGGGAGGCTCGTTAAATTCGCTGTGGTCCTTCCCACCACCCTCCCGATCTGCTCTAAATTTTAAAGGGGAGGGGCAAAGGGAAACTACCTGCCCTTGCCCTTGAAGTTTTTAACTGCCAATAATGGCCACTCCCCACCCTGGTCTCAATTTTGCAGCTTCAGAGGAGGTGCAGAAGGTGAAAAATTTCCATCACTGAGCTCCGTTTGAGATCAGACACTAGTCAACCATGTTACCCTCCCTGGAAGGGCTGGGACCAATGTAAATCCCAACCCCTCAATTCCTTGGGGCACTTTCCACACCTGTCCTGAGAAAAACACTATGTTGTAAGAGTCAAAAATGCAAAAACAAACTTAGACACTTTTAACAGGAAATGATATCTGCCATTTGTCTATTAGTCTCTGAAAGGCAGGGTTGATACTTAAATCACCAATTGCTCATCAGGTCACATAGCTGACAATAAATTGTTCCTACATCCCTAGTATTATTTGAGTTTCTTTCCTCTTCTTCGTCTGGGAAAACATTGGGCATGAAAGTAAACATGTGTGGCGTCTCAAAATAAGTGGTATTCCATCTGTTACCTGTTATATTCTCTGCCCAGAACTGAATATCGAATATGCCTCATTTGTGTCATTGTAACATTTTTTTCTTGAATTTCAGTGCTGTTGTCTTTATAAGCGGTTTTTCTCTTCACATTTCTCTTTTCTTTTTGCTTGTATTTGTTTGTGTGAGCTTCTCTTGTGCATTTGTAAATACCCCACTTTTTAATGTTTTTAGATCCTGACAGAACAAGCTATTTGCTTCTGTAGAGCAAAGAAATATGGATGCTGGAGACGTGAAACAAACAAAGGCATAAATTGCTGGAGAAACTCAGTAGATCTAGCAGCATGCATATAGAGAAAACAGAGTTAAAGTTTCAGGTCCAGTGACCCTCCTTCCTCTGGAGGATCACAGGACTCAAAACGTTAACTCTGGTTTTGTTCCACAGATGCTGCCAAACATGCCGAATTTCTCCAGTAATTTCCGTTTTCATTTATTTAAGCTGTCTTTCCAGTCCTCTTCCAACTAACCACCTACCCTGTCTGTAAATCTTACGGCTTGGTTGTCTGTTGGTTTCCATTTCTGATGAAATGACTTGTCTGTTTACTGGCCTGTTGAACACTGCCAGCACTTTGTATTTTGATTTCACATTTTCAGCATTTGCAAATTATTTATAAAAAAATACTTTCCTAAAGTTAAAACATGTAGCAACCTATTCAGTAAACTAGTTAAGCCACATAGGAATCACAGGCAAATATCCTAAGGATCTTGACAATGTGCATCATCACAGGTACTCTTCAATGATCTCCCCTTCCCTGGTGGCCAGTCCAGAGAAATATCTCACCCCACCGTATCAGAAGGATAAATGCCTTGTACAGTTGCAGTAGGACTCCCCAAAACTTATACTCTAACACCATTGAAATAACAGCCAACATTCTATTTGCCCACCTGTTTACCCACCACACCTGTGTGCTTGCTTTCTGTGTTTTGTGCACGAGTACCCCCTCCAAGTCCCTTTGTGTTACAGCTGTTCTTTTGTTCTCCCGTTCATAATGAACAGGTTCACATTTTCCCATATTATATGCCATTTGCCAACTTTTTGCCCACTTACTTAGCCTATCGATTTCTCTCTGTAAGCTATTTGTATTCCCATCACAACCTGCCTTTCCAAATACTTTATGTTGTCTACAAATTTTGCGACAGTACATTTGCTTCCGTGCTTCAAGTCATTTATATATATTGTCAACAATTGCAGTCCCAGCACTGATCCCTATGGACTCCCACTGGTCATAGGTTGCCAACCTGAAAAAAAAAATCCCTTAATCCCACTCACTGTTTCCTGCTCATTAGCCAATTCTCCAAATGTCAATATATATTTCTACAACAAAAACCGA